ATTGCCTCATACCAAAGGATAAGCCACAAAAATATTTACTGTAATTGGCTGATTAACACGGTGTAAATCCGTTTCCTGCCACTGAGTAGCAGGTTCTTTGGTTGTTTTCCAGAAGAAATGAAAGAGCCTTTGGATCTAAAACCTGTGAATCCCCACACTATCTACAAAGAGCTCTATTCATTTAGACTTTTTTCTCCAACATCTGAATTGAATCTTAGTCTGTCTTGTGTAGTAGTGTAGTGAGACAGTAGAAGTGTGGATATGTATTAGAAATCTGATCAACATCAACAGTGATAAACTGTAAATCAGACATTTCAAAAATGGATGAGCGAAAATTTGAAATTTACTATCCAGTTGACTGGCATCATTCAAGTCCATTTAACTATAATACCACACAATGAAAATGAAGTATTTCTTTGTCATTCGTTACCGTCTGCTAAATGATGCACAATATGTCTTCTAATCCATATCCTTTCTACACTGTTCCTGTACGAAGGGTTTGAATCTATCTATACAGTCTATGGTTTGAATGCATGTGTACTGCCCCCAAGTGGCTGTCCAGGGTACTCATCTGTGACTTTCTGGCTCTCAGATGTGACCTAACTAACAATTCAATCTCTTTGGTTTATACTACCCCAGAGCAATGTTGCTTATAGTTCAATAAAGAATTTGTTACCGAAAGTAATCGACTCGTATCATCATTACCTCGAAGATGGAGGTGTCAAATCCAACAACAGTCAACTTCACCCGCTGCACTGAGAACTAAATAAGTTGGAATAAGTTGGAGACGGAGAGTCCAACCACGCACCTGGAGCGACTCTCACTTTCTCGCTGCTCTGTTGTTGTCGTCCACCCCCCCCCTCCCCCACGCTCGAGACAGTGCGCGCGCAAAAAACACGTCATCCGGTCTCGCTCCCGGACGCACATTTCAACCGTCTAACTGTCAAAATACTGCCAGCAGAAGCTGGATGTTTCTGAGCTTAAACTTCCTCCTCAATATGCTCAGGTTGCCTTTTTTTGGGGCCTGAGCATATTGTATTTACATGTGTGAAGGAAAAGGTGCGACCCGTATCCCCCTCCCAGTATTGGTTTGTTCCACCTATGGCAACCCTGACAAGGTTACAGGCTAGTCACACCTCGGCTAAACGGATCGGATGGTCAAAAACGTTGGAACAGTCAGTTAGGGAATAAACAGAGAAAGGCCCTTGCCAGAGACGCTATAGTCAAAAATATGCAAAATAAACGACAAGTTTGGCAGTAAGGGAACAGGTCAGTCAAAACACTAGGTTGAACACACACACACACACACGACACCCAGCATAGCTAGCTATGTAGCCTAGCTAATAAATTATTAGTAATAATAGTGACTCGACAGCCAGTAGAATAAATACTTTGCACGCCTTACGTCTTTGTGGAGGATTTTAATAATATAGTATATATAATAAACATAGCAATAAAAATCTGACTTTGAGGGGAAATAAAAAAATACTAATAATAAAATATTAAATCTAGTAAAAAAATTAAACCTAGACTATGAATATTCGGTCATGACTCATGTTACATAGGCCAGGAAAAGTGCACAGCACATGCAATGACAAAGATCATAAGCACTATTAGTACCAGCATTACACATTTCTAGAATGATGTACATCTCTGGAAAAATTAAGAGACCGCTCTATACATTTTTCCAGAGCTGTATTAATGTAGTCTTCTGATACAGTTATTAATTTAACCTTTATTTAACCAGGTTTGCCGATTGAGAACAATTTCTCATTTGCAACGGCAACCTGGGGAGAAGCTGGGGATTAAACCCAGGATATCATACAAAGCATGCACTCTGACATTGAGCTACCAACTCCTCCAAACGATAGTGAGTAAGTGGTACACCTACACAATTAGCGATCTGGTGTTGTGGGTGAACAGGGTGGCCTGGGATGGAGTCAAATTCCCAGCCTGAATTATTGAATTATAATTTTGCCCGCCCCTGACAATAGGGTAAACATTTCAAAATGCTACAACTTAACCGTTCGTATCATCAATCTAGGTGAAAATAAAGCGTGCAAGGAAATACAGTCATTTATGAAATGGGATTGAAAACAAAAGTCTATATATTGTTCTCAATATTAACAATAATACGTTTTGTTTTTACAATATTGTTTTTTCTTTCTTCAGGTTTTATGTATGTATGTATTATTGCTAAAAAAATATTTATATTGCTGTTTCATAGACATATACGCACCTAAAACCCTTAGTGAGTGCCAATCAATTTAAATACCTAATGGCTTTTTCTTCTATGAGTAACCACTAGAGGGTAGCACCATCTAGGGACCAAAACATTAAGGCCTTTCACCTTGCCAGAATGGTTCGAGCTGATTGAAAGACACCAGTAACTCAAATAACTACTTGTTACAACCAAAGAATGGAGAAGAGCATCTCTGAATGCAAAACAAATCAAACCTAGAAGCAGATGGACTACAGCAGCAGAAGAGCACACTGGGTGGCACTTCTGTCAGCTAAAAACAGGAAGATGAGGCTACAATTTGCAAAGGCCCATCCAAATTGGACAATAGACCATTGGAAAATGTTTCCGGGTCTGATACGTCTTAATTTCTGGCGCGACATTCCCATGGTAGGGTTAGAATTTGGCGTAAACAACATGATAGCATGGATCTATCCTGCCAGGAGGTGCATTGATCAGACTTGCTTAGTTAGATTTTTAATCGTAACCGACCTTTACAATTGATGGTTAATTGTTACCTAACTATTCCATTAATCATCTAGAATTGCATAGTTTAGAATAGGCTAGTTATCATTAGGAACGATACCAGCAGAATACCTACAATACGTGGTATGTTTGTTTTTTATTATTTCCCAGCTCCGATTGGCAACCAGTATGACATCAATGCAGTTCCTTTAGCACTGGTTTACTGTAATGTAAAGGAATGACAGTCCATGACAACGGCATTGTTGTGTTTGTACGCTACAATGTGTTTGCAGTAATGACAAATGATAAGGTGGTAGTAATTTAATCAGAGTCGCCTATGTTTACATTATGATATATTACTTATCAGTTCAAAGGCCAAGGGCCCAGTCAAATTTATGGGGCGTCTAAGGAATTTTCCAATCTATAAGGTTCACATATACCTAAAATAAACCTTTTTGTGTTAAAAATATATATATGTGTATTAGTGACATTCAATAAGATTCAGTCTTCACACCCTCCAATCAGATAATCAGGCGTGTCGACTATAACATTCTAAACAGGCCATTTCTATATGATGTTTACTGTACTAATGCCATAAATGATCGGAAAACATCTGCATAGAGTTTTACGTTATTGATTTATAAACATATTTTTTTCAAAGTGTCTGAGATATTCCCCTTTGCACAGATATTCCCTTTGTTGTCTCCGAACACGCACATTAGACACTCTTATGACAACCTTCCCACCCACCTAAAAGTGATAAGTTTCCATGTGGACTACCTAATACTATTCTGGTCTCGTTTGGTAAGAGAAGGGGAGGAGGATACAGTTTTTTTCAATGTTTTAGAACTCCCACAAGTTCAGAATGAAAGGCATTTGTATATCTTTAACATACAATTTATGTTCAACACACATTGACTTATTAGACATGCATTGATTGTTAACTTACAATCAACATAGCCGACTGTCTTAATTCTAGTAGACTAATTGTCGACTATACCTTTAAGGGGAATATACAGACCAAACTGTTCCAAATATGGTCATGTCACCGCCCAGTAAACAGGGCTTTACCAAAGAGGAAGAGGAGTTAGAGAGGTTTTACTCTCCACCTCGTCAAAATCTGTCCAGAATACGCCCAATGCGTTAAAACCGGTCTTTGAACTGTCTTAACATTGTTGCCAGGCGGGACGACTTCCACTATCACGGTGGAGACATGACAATCTCTTCATAACACACAGATCTCTGGCTCGACCTACGCGTGTGTGTTTGAGCCTGAGCCTGTGTAGGAGAGATACTATTGGAAATAGGGGCAGTGTCCAGGCAGGGACGAGACACGGTTCGCTTTGGAATGAATGATTCTCGTGCGTAATAACTCTAAATTATGGACTAGTAATCGCGTTGCTACTCATAAGTACACATCAGCCCGGATCTGCTTTCTATGTCTATGGACCTACCCAGAATAGCGCACGGAGGAATTGCACCCGTTCAATCCTTCGGTCGTTCTTAACTTCGAAAACTATGTTGCGTCGATCTGGAGACGCGCAAGAATGTTGCAATTGAGTGGTAACTGTTCGTGCGGATTGCTCGCTAGCTGTGTAGTCGTCTTGTCGTGACTTCACACGCACGCTGTCTGTCAATGGTGGCAGTGCTCACTATTGTTGGTTTCTAATTTCTGCAGATCGGACAGAAAACCAGAAATACAGGTGGACCCATATCGCTTGTTTACCTGTACTGCTATTGCATATACTAGTATGTATGCCAAGTGTCCTTTGAGGAGACTTGCGTAATGGTCACTTTCGATGTAGACGCAGGCTTACTTTATCCACATAAAAACACAGAGGAAGTTGTGTCAACCGAAACAGGCGTTTGAAAATGAGTCAAGATGAAGGGATATCCCTGTCCGTGCCCTCCTTTGGTTCTTGCGCGAACCCCGAGGACTCCCGCGGGTGCTGTGCTGGTCCGAGAGAAGTGGGTGGCTGTGGTGCCACGGTACCCGCCGCCGGGGCCTTCTGGCACGACTCGACGGTCAGCGGAAGCGTCATCCATACGGTCTCCAGCGGCCTGGTGGACGGCGGTGGCTTGTTGTCTACCGGGAAATGTAAAAACCGGACTGTCACGGTGGCATACGTGGTCAACAGCGAGCTCACCCAGACGCACAGTGCCGAGAGCATGGCACTGTGTTGCCTGAAGGACGCGTGCGACTCAATGGGGAGTAAATTGGAAGTCATACCGTTTGGGAAGATCGACTTCGGAGAAACGAGCGTGCTGGACCAGTTCTATAATGCAGGTAAGCGTTGGGGACATGGCTCAGTGGTAGAATGCATGCTTTGTGTATGACATCCTGGGTTCGAATTCCAGCTGCTCCCCAGGTCGCCGTTGCCTACCTGTTTAAATAACGGTTAAATTAAAAAAAATGTGTTTCTCTAAAACAGTAAACGGACCTGACCTTCTGCCACTGCTCATTATAAGTAAACAAGGATCCCCCATCAATACCCAGTAACATCACACTGGGAACTTCTTTATTCCCAAGGTTGAACAGGTTCTACATACAGGTCTGTGGGTGGCATTTGGACATCCCAGGCCGCACATGCCACTCCACTTATCTCACTCTAGTGGGATGCCATGATCACATCGACGGCTGCAAGTGAGATTCCATGAACAGTTTTATGCAAAGCTGAGAAGCATTACATTAGGGTGTTTCTTTCCATTACCGCCCAACTTTGTGTCAGCCTGGATTCCATTGGGCACTGGAGAGTCTCAACATGGAGTTGCATATTTGCCTCGCTTCTGGCAGATGGGGCTAATTTTCCCATACACTTTTTCCTATGCCCTTATGTGCCTTAATGAGTGGGTCTCCTCTGAGCGTTATGGTTGCCAATTCATAAGACTCCGGTAAGGAACCCCACCGTGCCACTCAAACTTAAGAGCACTCCCCCCCCACTCTGCCCATGTGTCTCTGATTGTGCTCTTAGTTCCAATGGAAATGTGCTGTTGCCTAGTGGGGCTGAAGTCTGATTTCCAAAACGAGTATTGTGTGTTTACTGGGATTAGACCTTTAAATGAATAGCAGCTGAGGTCCTGGATTGTGCATCATTGGAAAGCTCATGGCCCACACTGTATGGTTGACTATGTTAAATGTTAGTAATGCTGGTTTGGTATGGTTTGGTTTGGTATGGTAGACGGACAGAGGGACATTCGACACAGATTATCAAACCATGTTGCATGACATTTAAGCAGCATGTAGGATGACCGTCCAATTGGGTCACTGATTTGCATATAACACAGAAATTACATGACGCAAAAATGTATGTAAAAAATCTGAAATGTATGGTAAATGTATCGAAATGGACAAATGGTATTTTCCAAATTAGTGTTAGAAGTCTGTATCTTAAATGCATCCCAAATTGTATTTTATTTTCTCTGTACAGGCGTGTAGGCCTACTGTGTAATATTCAAATATGTTACATAAACGATGGGACACTTTGTGAGAAACTGAAACACCTGTGTGTTCCAAACAGCTGCTTTGAAATTCTCTCTTTGAGGTAGAAAGCTGATCCCAGAAACCCTTTCTGTATATGTTTAAATGTCGGACAGAAGCTTATTGAAGATTGCCTACTTTATATTGCTTCTTCAACAACACATTTCGGGGATGGAATCATGGAACACAAGAAAAAATGAAATTATTTGTTTATTCTACGTACTTTATGGCACAAGCCTTGACTCCTTATTTGGGAAAGTCGGAATACTATATTCCCACATACGCAATCCCAGCCTCATAAAGGCTGAGCATTCACCGAGATCTGCAAATGGAGGCATCAGCAATGTGTCAAATAGTTGTTTTGATCACATTGCTGTGTAAGCAGAACAGTGAATATTTACCCAACCCCACTAGCTCAATAGATAAAGGTCAAATCAAATGTTCCAAATATATGACTGTTTAGGGCGTACGAATGAAATGTAGGTAGCCAGAGGACACCACTTTGAACTGTCACCTGTAATTAGGCTTAGAAGAGGTATTCATTTGTCATACCTATGGAATGTTGGAAAGAGTGTTTACGGTTGGTCGTTGGGCCAACTTGCTGTGCAATTCGCCAATAGGGATTCTGAGAACAAGTTTTAAGTGTAATTTTAATCCTCAGCTAGAGACACTCCACACAGTGCTGAATTTAACCGACTAGCTGTGCAAACTACAGTATATGACAAGCCAGTGCACACTGTCTCTGTATCTTGACACTAGTTTAGTAGGTCAGCTCGAGAGCCTGCATCCATGTCATGGACACGAAACGCAACATCTAGATTGCTGTTACCCTCACATAGCCCTCCTCATTTCAGTTTGTCCCAACTGAGCGTGTTGAGCCACAGTGGGACAGTCTCATAAAGAAAACCCTATGCTTTTGTGATGCAGCACAAACTGACGCCAGGAAATATGAATAACACGCAAAAAGAGTGGCTTTTTTAGCACAAGATGTGGTATGTAATGTAAGTTCAAGTGTGTGTTTGGCGATGAAGCTAATTTAGAGTGCCTAAACAAGTCCTTCGTGTGCCGTCAGCCAGACTGCATTGCATGATATGCCTGCACACGCCACGCTCATCATCGTGTCTCAGAACAAGATCCTACATGCATTCTGGTCTGACCTTAAGACTGGCTGTTCATTCACCGCTTAGCGCCCGCCGTCAACAGAGTTGGTTGTTTGTGCCAATGTTTACGCTGGCCCGCAGAACATCTGATCGGGGCTAAATGGGTTGCCATTTGCGCTAAGGTCCGGAGGATCAAGTTTTTCTGGAAATGTTGGGAAATCTCGAGTGGTGTGGAGGGCTAGAGAGAAAGGAGTAGTGCTGAGCGTGGTTCGATCAAAGCGCTGTGTCATGGTTTATCGGCAGGTTTTGGTTTGCGGGGTCAGGTGTGCCAATAGTCTGTGTAGACTGTGTGTGTGTGTGTGTGTGTGTGCGCACGATTGATTGAGATCGACAGAGAACGATTAGGAGGGAGGCATGCGCTCGGATTGGTCACAGCCCAGCTCTCTGGATGTTTGCAGGGAAATAAGGATTAGGCATGCTGCTGTATTCTGGTTTATGCCAGGTGATCTGTTGGTAGCTGTTGATCATTTTGTTCTGCCCTCCCTGTGCCTCGGTACATCCCAGAGTGTGAACTGAAACCAAACTAGCAGAAGCTAAGAATGATTTTTCTCATAGTCCTTGTTTGTACCGGCAGTTTACGCGGGTTGGCATGCTGGGTCTGAGAATTGTCTAATTCACGCATATTGCGCTCATTTGTAGAACTTGAGTAGTAGTTCTCAGTTTCTGGCATGACATTAAATCTGTTCAATAACCAATTCATTGCACGTTTGCCTCGATGCAGTATCACAGGGTTGATTTAATTACATTTAAACTAGGAAGAAGGCGGGGCTTGATTTGTGAGTGGGCTAGCGAAAACGTTATAGACCCCGTTGATACTTTAACCGTACACCTTACCTTGTCGTTAATTCCGCATTTATCACATTAACTTCTTCTTTCCGACAGAAACCCCTTTTATTGTGTGCATGTTATTAATATCTAATAAACAATTTGTGACTATTATATTGTTTTGTGTTCCTATTGGGCTTAATTAAAAATGTTATTTGTGAACCTAATTATTTTTGCAAAACTATACAGACACTTAGTTGTGCAGGTCACATTGTTAAATTTTTACATGCCTACAAACCTTATCCAAAGATATCATGACATGTATCAGTTCTTACTAAAAGCAGCTAGCAACACTGGTTGATGTGCAAATTAAATATTTGTCCTATTGACCTTTCTTGGCGTCATTGCACTCTCTCATACTCTCTTCGTAATGGTGTTTGAACGGTATGTCTTTACATTTTTCTGGTCTTTACGTCACACCCTGCTGCGTTATTGGGTAGGTGAACTGCATTCTGGGGAAACGTGTGTGTAGTGGCGTTCTCCTACTTTCTTATGCAGGTTTGTTCTGTATCTTTCAAGATATCCCATATACGCTGGTGTGCTGGCAAATGTCCCTTTTCTCAGCACTGATAAGGTAAAAATACACAATACTCATGGATGGCGCAACAGTGATGTCTTCACTAAATGCTGTCATATTGTGAAAATAGATGGATTATCACTGAGCGGAATGTGCTGAACATGAACGATTAAGCTTCTTAGTCATTCAGTCATCCATTCACAATTGTGTTACGGCAAATGCCCAGACAAATCTTCTGCAAAAGCCCTTAGAGGTTTTCTTGACAAAAATTTTAACAACCAGATAATCCTCACGTTTTCTCCCTGCAGACAGAAATAAGTGTTTCGTCATTAGGACATCCGAGGAACGTCAGCAGGTTGTCTCGTGGTCGGGACCTCTCCTGTTACTGTAGCCTATATCCTGGTGGCATTTATCCACTGGCATTTAACTCACTGCCAGCATCCGCTTTGTCACGAGCTGGAACACTCATTTCTGTGACCTTTAAACTCTTCTCAACTAGCTGTAGCTCACTCCTCCAAATGGTAACCTGGGCTCTGGTCGATATCTCACCCTTGAGTCACCTAAAGCCTCCTCTTCATTCTGTCATTGTTCACCTCAGCTTGCTGCTAGCCCATGACTTGAACGAATTGAAAGATGTTAACTGATAGACCTTGATCTTGATGCGATTGGCATACATTACGCTACTCTTTGCTGTGCTTTAGAGTTGGTTTTCAATTGACTCCCTCGGTTAAATAACTTTGAAAATATGCTTGAAGAGCTAGAGGAAGTTATTTTTGGACATGCTTAAAACTTTTAAAACGGAAAGAATGTCAATGTAGTCTAATGTTATTGTTTGAGTCCAGGTAAATGTTTTCTGCTTCTTCTTCTTCTGCAACTACTCAATATGTATGATATTCATCTGGCACCTTTGACAATAAAAGCTCAGTCGATGGGAGCATTAACTCAAGATGAATGTGAATTCAAGCCTCGAGTGGGTTTGAAATGCTCCCTCTTCTACAGTCCAGAGTCATACATCTTAATGAAGAGTTATGCTACAACCTACGTCACGTAGATCTTCCTCTAAATTGCCAGAAGGCGTAGTGAATGAGTGGCACTTTTTAAACCCTATCCAAAAATAGCCAAACAGCCCACGCCACACCTTCTTGAAGTTCCCAACCCACCTCCCGTCAGCATTTCCAGTCTCCACTCCTTCCTATTCAGGGAAGCTTTTCTCACTAATATATGAAAGCGATAAACGTATTCCATTTTAGTTTTGTCTTAACAACTTTTTTCAAAGGACTGTTTTTGACTCGAATTTCTGCACATTGTTCAGCTGGCTACGATAGCATGGCGTACAAGGGTCATTTTCTGTTGAAAAAGGACTTTCTTTCAAATGCTACTTTACATT